TCACAATGCACTGGGTCAGTTGGCCAATCAGAGCAGACTGCGCTTGTCAAAGGAGGGGCTTTGTAGAAAACGACGGGTTTGAGAGAGGCGGGGCATAGAGGACCTACAATAATGTACAGTATTTGAAAAATAATGTGTTTTTTGAACATTAAAGCATGTCAACATATTCTGTTACACCAAATACACAAAATAATGATCTTTAAAATAGCATCATATGACCCCTTTAAATAAGCGTTTTCTATTTGAATATATTTTAAAATGTAGTTTATTCCTGTGGTGGAAAAGCTGAATTTTCAGCATCATTACTGCAGTCTTCAGTGTCACATGATCCTTCAGAAATTATTCTAGGATGCTGGTTTGCTGCTCAAGAAACATTTCTTGTTATTATTTTCAATGCTAAAAACATTTGTGGTACTTAATATTTTCGTTGAAACCATGATACAGTTTGTTTCAGGATTTTTTGATGAAAAGACAGTTCAAAAGTACAGCATTTATTTGAAATATAATTTTTTGTAACATAACAAATGTCTTTACTGTCACTTTTGATCAATTTAATGCGTCCTTGCTAAATAGAAGTATTAATTTTTTACTGAACCCAAACTTTTGAACAGTAGTGTTCTATTTTATTCTCTTTGTTCTATAATATCTTTTTTATTTATTTAAAAAAAGAAAAAAAAACTTGATGCTCCAACACTATTCTATTTCTATTCTACTACTTGTTTTCTTTTTATTTAAAAAAAGAACCCTCTAACACTAGCGTTAGGCCTGGGCGATAAAATGGTATCGATATTTATCGACGGTACACCTTCTTCGATAACGATATAAAAAAAATTCGATATAGTGCACGATATAGGCACGTGCTATGAGTGACGCAGACAGCACACACGAACACGAACATGAGTGCTGTGCCTGCCTGTGACAGGAAATTGTGAATATTAGAATATTAGTCGAATTTAAAATTTGACATTTGAATGCAAAAATGGTACAATTGAATGTTAGGAGTGTGTCAGGGAGAGTCATCAGTGGAGCACGAGATGCGGTGATGATGATGTACGTGATGTTGTATTTTAATGTTTTGTTAGTCTAGGCCGAGAGACGCGCTGCTGCTGCATTATTCATTCAAAATATTAGAGAAATATAGTAGCTTAATGCGTAGAAGATCTTGATTAGGTTAAAACCGAAACCAAGCCATTCACACACAGATGCATATTCAGCGCATTTTTAGATGGACAAATATGACTTCTGCACTCGCGTCTCACAGAAGAGATGTAGCCATGCAAAGTTAAACCAGTTTAAACTTTTAGAAAACACGTCGCGAATTTGTGGAGGTTTATTCCTTTTCACTGCGTCTCTTATGTTTTTAAATGCAGTCTGTGTGAATGACGCTTCGGCTCTTTGTATAAAGCAATGCATTATACGTGATGCTGTTTTGTTCACAATTTTTTATGCAATTTACGAAATTATATTAGATTTTTATGAGTTAATTTAGACGTAATGCACGTTTTTTATAGAC